CCCCTCTCTCTCTTTCTTCTTCTTCTGGGATCCCAACTATTCTAATATTGTTTTGTCTTATGGTATCACTTATCTCTCGAATTCTGCCCTCGTGATCCAGTAGTTGTTTATCTCTCTTTTTCTTAGCTTCTTTATTTTCCATCATTTGGTCTTATATATCACTAATTCTCTCTTCTGCCTCATTTATCCTAGCAGTTAGAGAAAAGGCCCGATTTTAATCTTTGCTTCAGGATTTCTTTAGAATCCTGCCTGTGAGTTTTGCATATCTCTCCTAGGAGGATTAGTTTCCTGAGATTCATCCCTTTTCTTACCTGTTCTGTCCAGAAATATCTTTGCGTAGTCTGGGTCATAGATATAGAAAAATGCCTGAAAAGGCCCAACCCAGCAAGGAAAGGCGCAAGGGTATTTTTCAACAAGCTCCTCAAATTTCTCCATTTTACCATCCTGAAGTAACTGCAGTGAAAAAAAGAGTGAAGGAAGTTAGAGGAGCCAAGCAGTCTGGACTCAACCCCTCTTACAGAGGCAACCTGAATGTAGGGCCTGGATAAAGTCCCACAAACATGCTTTACTTGGCATTTCCAAGCTTAGAGTATAATTTTTTTAAGACTTATTTGTTTATTTATTTGAGAGAGAGAGAGAGAATTGAGGGAAGAGGCAGAGGGAGAAGGAGAAGGAGAGAATCTCAAGCAGACTCCCCACTCAGCGTGGAGCCCAACACGGAGCTCATTCTCACAACCCTGAGATCATGATCTGAGCTGAAACCAAGAGTCAAACACTTAACTGACTACTGGGCACCACCGAGCACCCCAGAATATAATTTCCTGATGAAGGTCAGTGTATTTATCTTCTCAATGTAAGTGTATATTGCATCCCCAGAATAAGTCCCTGTCAAATGACATCTTTGGTGAGCTGTTTTCCTAACTGAGAAGGTGAAGAGACTTGAGTCTGCCTCACCTGCCAAGGTCACACATTTTGATTAGGAGTGGAGTCTGGAAGCTGAGAAAGATTTTTTTCTTATGTGGGAAGCTAATTGGTAGTAGATTGAACATGACCCATGATCCAGGTCACTATTTCCTCTCCCTTTGCCTTTCTCTAATTATTGAGGAGTGATTCTTTCTTGTGACTTCATAGTAAAATCTTCTCCCTAAAAACCTGCCCACTCCATCTATGAAGAAAATCCCATTCTTTTCTCTTACAACAATAGAAGGCTCATTTATACAAGTGCATGAAGCTTGAAGCAAGTTTAAATAAAAAACTCTCAGCTTCCAACATTTATAAACCAGAGTACAAATACCACCATCAGAGATGAACTTTTTGCCTTAATAAGCAAGTTACTAATGATTCATTTAAATAGTTCCTCTAGATCACTGACAATAAAATTCATTTATATCCACTTCTTGTATAAAGTGAGAGTGTGGGGGGCACCTGTATGTGTGTGTCTGGGTGTGCCCAGTGACACATGATCGTGGGGCTCTTGACTTGCAAAGAAACCCTAAGGCTGGCAAGTTCTTCCTTGTGTGACCAATCATATAGAGTTTGCCATGTGATTTCTCTTACCCTCAGAAAAGGTGGAAAACTTTGGCTCCCAATTTCTTTTGTTACCAGCTAGCACCTTTATTCCATGAAGTGTTCCCTGGAAAGTTTAGGGCCCCTAGGAGGTTGTGATTCTGGAAATCTAGCTCCTGAAATGGTACAGACTCATTTTTGTTAACATTCCCACAATCAAGCCAGTGACAAGCACCCACTAACAATGCAAATGATGTCTTCCAACAAAGCAAATGTTCCTTCATTAATTCATTTGTAAACAATAGACAAGTGAGCATTTATTAAGTGCCTACTATATATGCCAGGCAATAGAGATGCAGGGAAATATAAGACAGGCAAGGTCTTTGCCCTCAAGGAAATAATAATCTAATATGAGGATTATTTCTTTAAGTTAGAAATTGTCATGGACACCCTCAGCCACAAGCATTTGGTTATACTTTTAGTAATTCCTGTCTGGGCAAAAGGAGAGAAAGCCATTGTGACTCCCATAATACATGAATTTATATTTCTTTATCCACAGCAATATCTTAATACATTTGAAAATATGTCTTATACATATTTAGGAAACATTGTTTAGAAATATTCAGAAAATGCTTAGTCCCCAGACAAATAGTAATAGTTAACACTTACAAAGCACTACTATGAACTAGGTGCTGCCAAGATCATGTTTTCCATGATTTATATTGTTTAATCTTTATACCAGGAACCCTATGAAGCAGATATGATTAGAACCTACATTTTACAGATGAGGATACTGAACCTTAGGGAGGTTAAGGAAAATAGTTCCAGCTGTTCCTTGTGATTATCTAAGTGATGAATTGTCAAAAGAAACATAAAGGGTAAAAAAAAAAAGGTAAATAGGTAGATTTGGTAATATTAGTCAGCTTGACATATTAACTATCTCTCATTTGTAAAACTCTGATAGAGGCCTCTCTAAAACACAAAAAAATAATTTACTGACAGTCAAGAGGGATATGGACTTTAAAACACTATGAATGCAATAAACAATCTGAATGAAAATAAAACCATTCTGTTTACAACAGTATCAGAAAGAATAAAACATTCAGAAACAAATTTAAAAAGATAAATGTAAAATTTATACTCTGAAAACTACAAAACATTATTGAAATAAATTTAAAAAGACTTAAGTAAATGTAAAGATGTCCCATGGTCATGGATCAGAAGACTTAATATTGTTAACATGACAGTATTTCCCAAATTGATCTACAGATTCAATGTAATCCCTATCAGAATCACACCTGGCTTCTTTGTAGACATTGACAAGCTGATCCTAAAACTTATATGGAAACAAGAGGTATCCAGAATAACCTAAATAATCTTGAAAAAGAACAAAAATATGGGTGCCTGGGTGGCTCAGTTGGTTAAGCATCTGCCTTTGGCTCAGGTCGTGATCCCAGGGTCCTGGGATAGTGTTCCTCACCAGGCTCCCAGCTCAGCAGGAAGTCTGTCTCTCTCCTTCTGCCCCTCCCTCCTGCTCATGCTTTCTCTCTCACTCGCTTGCTCTCTCTCAAATAAACAAATAAAATCTTTTTTTAAAAAAGAACAAAATAGGAAGACTCATGCTTCCTGATTTCAAAACTTACTACAAAGCAAAAGTAATTAAGACAGTGTGGTATTGGCATAAGGATAGACATATAGATCAATAGAATAGAATTGAGAATCTAGAAATGAACTTCATGTTTACAGTCAACTGATAGCAGTGTCTTTTGTTCCAATGAGGTGGTTCTTGGGGGCCCTTGGATGGTGGCTGGTCACAGAAAGACCAACCCATAATTAAAAGCTTGGAATTTTCATCCCCACTTTCCATTCTCCAGAGAGGGTGAGGGGCCAGAAATGGGTTCAATCATGCCTACATGATGAAGCCTCTGTAAGAATTCCAAAAGTATAGGGTTTGGAGACCTTTTAGTTTGGAGAACATGTGGAGGTGCTGGTAGAGTGATGCATCTGGAGAGGGCATGGAAGCTCTGTGCCCCTTCCCACATACCTTGCCCTATGCATCACTTCCAACTGCATGTTCATCTGTATCCTTTATCATATCCATTTATAATAAACTGGTAAACAGGGGCGCCTGGGTGGCTCAGTCGGTTAAGTGGCTGCCTTCCGTTCAGGTCATGATCCCAGTGTCCTGGGATCGAGCCCCACATCGGGCTACATGCTCAATGAGAAGCCTGCTTCTCCCTCTCTCACTACCCCTATTTGTGTTCCTTCTCTCACTGTCTCGCTCTCTGTCGAATAAATAAATAAAATCTTTAAAAAAAAATAAACTGGAAAACAGTAAATTAACTGTTTTCCTGAGTTCCATGAGCTGTGCCAGCATATTAACCAAACCCAAAGAAGAGGTCACAGGAATCTCCAACTTACAGGTGATTGGTCAGAAGCACAGTAAAAACCTGGACTTGCCATTGGCATCTGAAGTGGGGAGGAGTAGTCTTGTGGGCTGAGTTCTTAATCTGTGAGATCTGATGCTATCTCTGGGTAGACAGTGTCAGAATTGCATTAAATTGTAGGACACTCAGCTGATATCAGGTTTGCTTGGTTGCAGGTGGGGGATGGGGGTACTCACCCAACATCTGGTGTCAGAAGTGTTGTGAATATAGTCATAGTGTGAGAATAAAGGGGAAACACAGGAGGAGGACTGGGTTTTTCCTACTCAGGTTCCAAAACAATTCAATGGAGGGAAAGAACAGTCTCTTCAACAAATGGTGCTGGGATAACTGGATAGCCACAAAAAATAGAATAAATTGGACCCCAACCTTACACAATATGCAAAAATTAACTTAATGGATCAAGATCTAAATGAAAGAGCTAAAACTATAAAACTCTTAGAAGAAAACATAAGGAATTAACCTAGATTTGGCAGTCAGGTGCATTTCTACACTAAAATGTAGAAAATCTACATTTTCTACACACAAACCAGTTGCATTTTTAATAATAAACAATCTGAAAAGAAAATAATGAAAACAAGTCCATTTGCAATAGCATCAAAAAGAATAAAATATTTAGGAGGTGAAACCAAGTATGGGAAAACCAAGTATTCCCAACCAACAAGGTGAAAGACTTGTACAGTGAGAACTAAATATTTCTGAAGAAATTTAAAAAGATGTAAATAAATGGAAACACATTCCATGTTCATGGATTGGAAGATTTATTACTGTTAAGATGTCAATACTACCCAAAGCAATCTACAATTCAGTGTAATCCCTACCAAAATCCCAATGATGTTTTTTGTAGAAACAGGAAAATCCATCTTAAAATTAACGTGGAATATCAAGGGACCTTGGATAGCCAAAACAGTCTTTAATAAGAAGAACAAAGCTGAAGGACTCACATTTCCTGATTTCAAAACTTACTACAGAGCTACAGTAATCAAAACAGTGTGGTTCTGCCACAGAGAGACATATAGGTGAATGGAATAAAATAGAAAGTCTAGAAATAAACCCCCAAATATATGGTCAAATGATGTTTGACAAAGGTGCTAGGACCATTTAATGGGAAAAAGACAGTCTTTTCAACAAATGTTGCTGGGAAAACTGGATATCCACATGCCACGGAATAAAGTTGGGCCCTTCTTTACCTAACACCATAGACAAAAATTAACTGAAAATGGTTCAAAGACCTAAATGTAAGACCTAAAACTGTATAACTCTTATAAGAAAACACAGGAAAATTCTTCACAACGTTGGACCTGGCAATGATTTCTAGCATATGAGACCAAATGCACTGGAAAAAAGAAAAAATATACAAACTGGACTTTATAAAAATTAAAAAATTTTGTGCATGAAAAGACAGTATAACAGAGTAAAAAGTAAAAAACACGAATGGGAGAAATATTTGCAACTAATATATCTGATAAGTGGTTAATATCCAAAATAAATAGAAATCTCCTAAAACTCAACAACAAAAAACAAACAATCTGATCCAAATACGGGTAAAGGACTTAACTAGACATTTCTCCAAAGAAGACATACAAATGGCATTGAGCACATGAAAAGATGCTTAACATCACTAATCATTAGGGAATACAAATCAAAAGTATAAAATACTACTTCACACCCATTAGGATGACTACTGTCAGAAAAAAAAAACAAAAAAGCCAGAAAATAGCAAGTGTTGGTAAGAATGTAGAGAAATTGGAACCCCTGTGCACTTCTGGTGGAAGTGTAAAATGGTACTGCCACTGTGGAAAACAGTGTGATTTTTCTTCAGAAAATTAAAAAAGGAATTACCATATGACCCAGCAATTCCATTTCTGAGTACATATCCAAAAGAATTGTAAGTAAGGTATCAAAGAGATTTTTGTACACCCATGTTCACAATAGCTAAAATGCAGAAACAACCCATGTATCCCCTGATGGATGAATAGATAAACAAAATGAGGTATATAGACACAGTGAAATATTAATCAGTTTTTAAAAGAAAGGAAATTCTGACTTATGCTACAATATGGATGAACACTGAAGACATTACACTAAGTGAAATAAGCTTGTCACACACAAAAAATAATAATAATACACGATTCCACTTAAATGAGATAGTAGTAGTCAAAATTATACAGACCGAAAATAGAATGGTGTTTGCCGGGGGGGTGGGAAGAGAGAGAAAAATGGGGAACTATTGTTTAATGGGTATAGAATTTCAGTTTTACAAGATGAAAAGAGTTATGGAGTTGGATGGAGTTGATGGCTGCACAACATTATGAATGTATTTAATATCACTGAACTGTACACTTTTAAAAATGGTTAAGATGAGGGGCGCCTGGCTGCCTCTGTCGGTTATGCGGCTGCCTTCGGCTCAGGTCATGATCCCAGGGTCCTGGGATCGAGCCCTGCATCGGGCTCCCTGCTCAGCGGGGAGCCTGCTTCTCCCTCTCCCTCTGCCTGCCTCTCTGCCTACTTGTGCTCTCTATCTCTCTGTCAAATAAAGAAAGAAAATCTTTATAAAAAAATGGTTAAGATGGTAAACTTTATGTTATGGGCATTTTACTACAGAAAAGATGTTGGAAAAAAAATCAGAAAGGTATCAGCATTTTCAACAGTCATCCTGAAAGCTAGAAGACAATGGAATGATGCCTTCAAAATTCTGAGAGAAAATTATTTCTAAAGTATAATCCTATACCCAGCCAAACTATCAATCAAATTATGAATTTTAATAGACATTTTCAGCCATTCAAGAGCTCAAAAAATTCACCTGACATTCCTTCACTCAATCTCAAGAAGCTACCCATAAAAATGATGAAATAAATCAGGAAAAAGAGAAGACATAGTATCCAGGAAATGGAAGATATGACACAGGATAGCACATTATCTGTGCACCAAGCCTGGAGAGCCACCAGTCCAGATTAGAACAGGAGGAGAGGTCTTTGGGAGAAATGCCTCCAGAAAAGCATATAGGCTGACAGGTTTTTTTATAGGTTTCAATATTTGGAAATATTGTTGAGATGTGTTTGACAGATCTATTAAAAGCATTTGGGAAAAAAAATAGTGATAGATTTTGAAAAACTAAGCATATGAGAAAAGGAGGAAGGTAATAACACCATGGGAGAAAAAAAGTTCTATGAGAAAAGGAACAAAATCAACCATTAGATCAGTGGTAAGTAAATATTTACATAATCAAAATAATATAAATACTAATTATTCTATTTAACAAAAAATACAATGTAACTATATTGGGACAGTAAAAGATGGGGTATAAGTGATTACTCATCATAAGGTAGTTAATGAATGGATATCTACAATTATTAAATTAAAAAATGCAACATAGTAATATTATTTTACGGATTGAAACGAACAGGTAAAACAGTTGAGAGTGGTTCCTTTTGGGCAGAAGGACTAGGAGTGGGGGAGCCAAAGGATCATGCGATAGTTCTGCTGGGGACAACCTCCCCATGCCAGCCATCATTTAAAATTCTGCCCAGACTTCTGTAGACTTTTCCTTCCTTCTCTGGGTAGAGACACCTATTTCCCTCCAAGATCCCCTTGTCCCTAGGCCTCTATCAAAGCACTCATTACCCTGTATTTGCATTTTCTCTTGGCGGTCTAAGTATGCATCTGACTTGGGCTTCTGAGGGCTGGTACTGGTCTGCTCTTTGTAATCTCAGCACCCATCACACAATTCCACTCAAAGCTGGTTGAATTAATAAAACAAGGAATCAGGGGTGAGACTGGATTTGGAGCACAGGAGGACCAAAAGGTAAAGGTCTCCCTCTTAGAAATTTCAATTTGCCATCACATTTGAGTGATTGGCGGGGGCTGCTCTCTACTTCACAAGAACCTTGGATAAAGTTCATTTTCTCTGGTTGTAATTCACTAAGGGTGGCAACTAACTGTGTTCGATTTTGCATATTTTCTGCAGTTAATAAGCATTATTTAGAATAACATAACTTTTTTAGCGACCCATGTGGAAGGCTTTTTAAGGTACAGTACATAAATGCAACTAGAGATGAAGCAACTAGAGACCGTCCTGAGTTACAGGACGCTCTTTTTCTGTACTCAGTCTCTACATAGGTCCTCCCAGCCCCCCAAGCTTCCACTCCAGGGGCTCCAGTCTTGTTTCCCTTTCCCTGCAGCACTGTGAGGGAGGAAGCCCAGAGTAATGGAAAGATGCCGAGAGCCACAGGCGGAGCCAGAGAGGTCTGTGCAGGATGCAGCGATGAAAGGAAAGGGAGGAAGCAGCCTACCTCTCCGCCCTCCTGGTATCCTCGGCAGCATCCTTCTCTGTCCCTCCTTTCCCTTACCTTCTGGTGCCCGTAGAACCAGTGGGTGGGGGGCGCGGGGAAAGGGCACAGGTCTCGCAGCAGCCGCAGCCTCCGCAAGTAGAGCTTGATGGCCTGCAGCAGCCCCAGGGCCAGGCAGAACACGAAGGCCAAGTACAAGGGCCGCGCCCAGCGCATCTCGAGCCAGGAGGACTCCATCGCTGTGCGCCGGGCGTATCGCAGGCGGTCTCCCCGGCCCCGGAGTGGGTGGGCTTTCTCTGCGCCGGGCAGCTCCAGGAGAGGATCGCCCAGCCCACCGCGACTCTGTGCCCTCCGACAAGCTCCCTTCTTCCCTGGGGAGGAGGAAGAGCGCTGGGAGGGAGACCTCCAGCTTGGCCAGAGGAGGCAGGCTCGAGTTCTCGGATTTCTTTTTTTTTTTCTTACTAAATTACTGATCAATTTAATGCAATTCCAATACTCAAAAGCATTTTTCATGAAACCTGCCTGACTCTGAAATATACAAAGAAAAATGCGCAAGAATATTTGAGACAGTCTTGAAAAATAACATAAAGATTGGTATTTGCCTTCTCAGCAAAATACATTGTAGCATTATAGGACCAATGTGATATTGCCCAGGAATAGATAAACAAAGCAATGAAACATGATAATAATGATAAGAATAATACTAGTAATAATAAGCATTTACTGTTATGATATGCTTACAACATGTCAAGCACTCTTCTTAGCATTTTACATTTATCAATTTTTTTATTATGTTATGTTAGTCATCATACTGTACATCACCAGTTTTTGATGTAGTGTTCCATGATTCAATGTTTGTGTAAAGCACCCAGTGCTCCCTGCAATACGTGCCCTCCCTAATACCCATCACGGGGCTAACCCATCCCCCACGCCCCTCCCCTCTAAAACCCTCAGTTTGTTTCTTGAAGTCCATAGTCTCTCATGGTTCATCTCCCCCTTCGATTTCCTTCCCTTCATTTTTCCCTTCCTTCTCCTAATGTCCTCTGTGCTATTCCTTATGTTTCACAAATAAGTGAAACCATATGTTAATTGACTTTCTCTGCTTGACTTCTTTCCCTTAGCATAATCGCCTCCAGTCCCATCCATATTGATGTAAAAGTTGGGTATTCATCCTTTCTGATGGCTGAGTAATATTCCATTGTATATATGGACCACATCTTCTTTATCCATTCGTCTGCTGAAGGACATCTCGACTCTTTCCACAGTTTGGTTATTGTGGACATTGCTGCTATGAACATTGGGGTGCGTGTGGCCCTTCTTTTCACTACATCTGTATCTTGGGGTAAATACCCAGTAGTGCAATTGCTGGGCCATAGGGTAGCTCTATTTTTAATTTTTTGAGGAACCCCCTCAGATTTCTAACCCTTTATCAATTGAGGAGAATCTTCATTCAAGGGTGACTTATTTTATTTTATTTTATTATGTTATGTTAGTCACCATACATTACATCATTAGTTTTCAATGTTTGTGTATAACACCCAGTGCTCCATGCAATACGTGCCCTTCTTAATACCCATCACCGAGCTAACCCAACCCCCCACGCCTCTCCCCTCTAAAACTCTCAGTTTGTTTCTCAGAGTCCACAGTCTCTCATGGTTCGTCTCCCTCTCCGATTCCCCCCCGCCGCTTCATTTTTCCCTTCCTGTTATCTTCTTCTTCTTCTTCTTTTTTTTTTAACATATAATGTATTATTTGTTTCAGAGGTACAGGTCTGTGATTCATCAGTCTTACACAATTCACGGCGCTCATCATAGCACACATACCCTCCTTAATGTCCATCTCCCAGCTACCCCATACCTCCCACCCCCCTCCACTCCAGCAACCCTCAGTTTGTTCCCTGAGATTAAGAATTTTCATATCAGTGAGATCATATGATACTTGTCTTTCTCTGATTGACTTATTTTGCTCAGCATAATACCCTCTAGTTCATTCAGGGCGACTTCTTAATGCCCTTCTGGATTGTCACACTTCAGCTGTGACAGTTTTTAATCATGGGAGGTCAGAATTTAGGTTTTAAAATAATACCAAGGCTGAGGCCATTGTTTATCTTCTTTGCCACAAATAAATGGTAAACTGCTGTGTTAAAAGAAACCCCAAACCCAAAAGCCTTCTTCCCCACTCTGAAATTCTGTCAGAACCCACAGGGATCTGGGAGTTGGGAATGCGCATGTATAATCATTATACTTATATAGTGTGGCTTATCCAGTGGTATGTCCGTAAATGTTTTACAATTGGTCTTCACTCGAATTTCTAGTGTTTGCCAATGTCCACCATTCTAGTTAGTTCTTTCAGCAGGGTCAGGGCCTGGAGACTCCTTAGCTGACCCAGTCTTACTTAGGCTCTTGCTGGAGATGTTAATCCCTTCTGAGACCTGGCTGGTCCATCCGCAGCGTTCTATGTCCTTCCTTAGAAAACAAAGAACTTTGGCACTTTTTGCACTATACCCAGGAGCCTAAGAGAGGCTCGAGGATGCTAGCTCAAGTCTTCTCTCTGCTTCACTGCCATCTTCACCCTGGTTCCTCTCCAAAAGGAAGCAAGGCAAAATCTATCCAAATCCCCACTTCCAGAAGTTTAGCCTAGAGGGGAAAAATCAGATGCTTTCCTGACCTCTGGCTTTACCTCTTCTGCTAATTCTTACCCTAGTCCACCAGGCTGGAAGACGGGGGCTTTTTCACAACTTGCATTCATGTGGTAGAAACCTTCATATGACACAGCTGGTGTCCTCTCTACCCCTGATTGAGACTGAAAATCTACAGCCTACTCCAATAGGACATGCTAATGGGACATACATGAAGTTAGAAAATTATTTATTCTGACCAAAGACTGGCTTTCGGGGCGCCTGGGTAGCTCAGTCGTTAAGCATCTGCCTTCAGCTCAGGTCATGATCCCAGGGTCCTGGGATCGAGCCTTGCATCGGGCTCCCTGCTCCGCGGGAAGCCTGCTTCTCCCTCTCTCACTCCCCCGGCTTGTGTTCCCTCTCTCGCTGTGTCTCTCTCTGTCAAATAAATAAATAAAATCTTAAAAAAAAAACTCACTAAAAAAAAAAACTGGCTTTCAATACTTATTGCAACTCGAAAATCCCATCTTGGAGATCAACAGCAGAGCATCTATCCCTTCCTTCTGTTGGCATACCTAAGCAAATGTCCACTGAATTGAATTTGCTTGGCTGTAGGATGGGGGATAGGGACACTGAAAAAGCCCCAGCAACATGGTCAGCCCAGGTAAGGATTTCAGACTTTACAAAAGGTAATAAGAATCCACCGAAGGGATTTAAGATGGAAAGTGACATGGTTAGGTAGTATATTACAGCTATTTGGGAGATAATAGTAAGCAAATATTTATTGTGTGCTTATTAAGTGCCAAGTACTATTTTAAAGTGATTTACATGTAGTAGCTCATTTAATCCTCATAATAGAAATTCGAGGTAGATATTACCATCATCCCCATTGTATATATATGGAAACTGACACACAGAGAGATTATGAAGTTTGCCCAGGACATCAGAGGGTGAGAAGGGGGGTTAGGATTTGAATCTAGTCAGTCTCAAGAATCCAGGTCCCAGGATCTTGACATTTATGGGAACAAATGATATGTGTATGGGGTGGGTGAAAAACTGGCACTAGAAGACCAGTTCTGATGCTGTTGCAATATTCAGATAAGATGTGATGGTGGCCGGGGCGCCTGGGTGGCTCAGTTGTTTAAGCGACTGCCTTCAGCTCAGGTCATGATCCTGGAGTCCCGGGATCGAGTCCCGCATCGGACTCCCTGCTCGGCAGGGAGTCTGCTTCTCCCTCTGACCCTTCCCCCTCTCATGCTCTATCTCATTCTCTCTCTCAAATAAATAAATAAAATCTTTAAAAAAAAAAAAAAAGATGTGATGGTGGCCTGGTGAGGGGGAGTGCCATGGGACAGAGAGGCAGAGTGAGTGGGAGAAATATTGGAGAGTGTTTTTGATGGAGTTGGTAACTGACTGGATGTGGGTCCAGTAGGGAAGAAATCTAGGATGATCTCTGTGTTTCTCTTCATTGAGGTAGAAAAAGCAAGAAGAATCACTCTTTCCCCTTGCTCTACCCTCTGCCCCATCCCATGTGTCTTCTGCTCTTCTTGATCCCGCCCTCAAGACTTACCTCCTCTATAAATGCTTCTCTAACCACCCAGCCCATGGGAATCTATCCTATGAACAACTGAAACACTCATTTTCATACCTTTCATTTGATATTTCATTTATTCATGTTTTCATTTATGACTCATTCCAAAGTCAGCAATTCTATGCAGCTTCATTATGTATCTCTTTTCATGTTCAACTTATCTTCCTAATTAGGTCTGGAAACTCCATGGTAGTGCAAACATTTTTTTTCCCCATCTCTTGGATTCCCTTGGAGCCCAGCTCTGGGCTAGGCCAGAAATAGGCTAGAAATAGTTACTCAATTCCCTTGAATTAGGGAGACATATTAGAGGCTTTCAGGAAAGAGCAGGATGAGGAATATAATCCACAAAACAAGAGGACAGTGAAGGAATGGAGACATCCCAGGTCAAGGGGCTTGTCTACTAAGAGAATAAGCATAAAGCAGGGGGTGGGAAGGGAGGTGAGGAGAGGAAGAATAAAGTAAAATGACAACTATTTTCACCATGGGGGAACCTGGGCCTTGTTCCTAAGGGAGATGGTGCTGATAGAGAGGAAGGATGGAAGGTGCTGAGAGAGAGGCAATGAGAAAAAACAGGGCCTGGGGGTGAGTGGGGTGCTGAATAGAAGGAATGAGCTGGATGGGATGGGGCACAGAAACTTCATAGATGTCCAGTCCCAGACAGTTTTATGAAAACATTGAGGCTGGGCAGTGATCACTTCAGTCTGCTCTTAACTGACAGCACATTAGTTACAGTTTTGAAGGGGTTCCACTGGGAAGACCAACATGTTAGAGGCATAGGAGGCAGGATAGAGGGGAGGAATGAGTGGATGACATCTCTGATGCCAGATAACCTCATTTTTTCCAGAGGATTCTGAGGCATCTTCTGCCCTGGCAGGGACAGAGAGGACTGAGTGCCTAGCAGGGTGGGGATTCAGAACAGCTGCTACAGTGATGCTGAGGGCATTGGCAAGCAGCTGTTAAGAGACTGAGGAACCAGTGGAATTTACATAGTAGGTTCCATGCAGAGGGCCCAGGGCACATGGCTCCATT